CCAGGGCAGAGGGCGTGGAGGCCGGATGAACTACGCGAGTGATCGCCCAAACCCATTCGCCGCACACCTTGACCCGAAGTTCAACTCCGGCCCACAAGGTGGTCCTGGCGGTGCCCCCATGGTACCTCCTGGATGGGTTCCCCCTGGCCAAGGATACGGAGGTTACGCTAGAGGACCGCCTCCTCCTCCACGTGGCGGGATGTCACACCAGTATCCACCTCAACACCCGCCCCAACACCAATCCCAACACGGCTATCAACAGCCTGGGGACTATTATGGCCAGCAAAATAACCAGTATAACCAGGGTGGCCAGTACAATAACGTGCATCAATCAGGCTATGGCTCGCAGGATTATCGTGGGGGCAGAGGAGGTAACCGTGGAGGCCGCGGCCGTGGTGGGCAGAACCGAGATCACTACTCCCACAACCAAGGCGGAGCAGGGTATAATCGGTACTAAAAAGTAAATGAGGGTCCAGCTTTCTATTTGGCTTTATTGTGGCTATCTCTTCCTGCTTCTTTCAATACGCCATTGGTATCTGTTGACACGTTTGGGAATTGGGCATAAGGAAGAAATGGAGTTAAGGAAAATGTAAAATGGATTCATTTGATGTTCCAATGTTCTCTTTGTTGCCCTTGCAGAGCATGCATGAGTTGAGCCCCTGTCTGATACGCCAAGGTTAGGTTATACGTAGTATACTCCATAGACCAGAGTGCTCGAATCGTATAACTACATTGTTGTATGTATGTGTCCATTCCTTCCTGCATTAGTGAACTATAATTGGCAGTAAAAAAAAACACAGTCTACTCACGATGTAGTCCCCTTTCAATATAAAAATACAAGGTACCTATGGTCACCTAGTTACGGAGTAGTAATTCGCCTTTTTGGTTTTTTTTTTTGGTTTTTTTTTGGTTTTTGATTTTTTCTGTCCATTCTAGGAGCCCTTGCAGCTCTCGCAACCCTAAAATGATACTTGTCTGGTTGTAGAAAGGCGGTGTGTATAGAGGGGTCAAGGCAACAAGGCACACTGGCAAAAAAACGAGGCGGGGTGACTCACCCGCAAGCCCTGAGAGATTGTTGGTCGCAGTCAATCTTCTCTCCACTTTCGTAAACCACTGGAGTCACTACATCATGGATTTTCCTGCAGAAGAAGAGCTCGTGCTCGCTCGGTGGAGGGAGATCGATGCTTTCAAACGACAAGTTGAACTTTCGGCTGGAAAGCCACGCTACGGATTCCTAGACGGCCCTCCGTTCGCTACTGGAACCCCTCATTACGGACACTTACTTGCTTCGGTAAGATCGCAACGAACAATTTGCGAATGAGTTGGGAGTAGCTCTAATACTTTTTACCAGACTATCAAGGATGTGATTCCCCGTTATTGGTCTATGAAGGGATTCCATGTGGAGCGCCGTTTTGGCTGGGATACACACGGTGTTCCCATTGAGTAAGTTCAATTCAATTTAGGACACAATTTTGCTCAAGACTGTGTAGCTTGGGTTTGGCTGACACAAAAACTAGATATGAAATCGACAAAAAATTGGGCATGTCTGGTCTGCAGGCGGTCCAGGAGATCGGAATCGAGAAATACAACGAGGAGTGTCGGTCGATTGTTATGAGATACGCGACAGAATGGCGCGAAACCATTGAGCGGTTGGGTCGCTGGATTGACTTCGATAACGATTACAAGGTACGCTGGAGAAAGCCTGACCCTCTGTGTCCCTTTATTAACGCTTCCCTTGTCACTTAGACCATGAACCCATCATTCATGGAATCTGTCTGGTGGGTTTTCAAGGAGCTCTTCGATAAGGGCCTCGTCTACCGCGGATACCGTGTCATGCCTTACTCCACCGCTCTCAATACGCCGCTGAGCAACTTCGAAGCCCAGCAAAATTACAAGGATGTGCAGGACCCGGCCGTTGTAGTGACATTCCCTTTGCTGGATGACCCCGAGACATGCCTACTTGCGTGGACCACCACCCCATGGACTCTCCCATCGCACACCGGTCTGTGTGCCAACCCCAACTTCGAATACATCAAGATCTACGATGAAGCTACAAAGAAAAACTACATTCTCCTGGAGGCTCTTCTTCGCACCATCTACAAGGACCCGAAGAAGGCTAAGTTCAAGATCGTCGACCGCATCAAGGGTTCTGACATGCTTGGATGGAAGTATACCCCTCTCTTTGATTATTTCTATGAAGAATTCAAGGACTGTGGCTTCCAAGTGCTGAATGACGAGTATGTCACTGCTGAGGATGGTGTTGGTATTGTTCACCAGGCTCCTGCATTCGGTGAGGAGGATTACCAAGTCGCCATGAACCACGGCGTCATTTCTGAGACTCGTCTTCCCCCCAATCCCGTTGATCCTCAGGGCTGTTTCACCGCTGAAGTCCGTGACTTTGTGGGCCAGAATGTTAAGGCTGCTGATAAGGGAATCATCAAGCTTCTTAAGGGCAATGGTCGTGTTCTTGTTGATAGCCAGATTACTCACAGCTATCCTTTCTGTTGGCGGTCGGATACCCCTCTGATTTATCGTGCCGTGCCGTCCTGGTTTGTGAAGGTCAAGCCTATCATCCCCGACATCCTTGATGGCATTGATAAATCTCACTGGGTCCCCTCTAATGTCAAGGAGCGGAGATTTGCTAGCTGGATTCGGAACGCTCATGATTGGAACATTTCTCGAAACCGATTCTGGGGAACACCGTTGCCATTGTGGGTTAGTGATGATTTCTCAGAAGTTGTTGCTATCGGTAGCATCGAGCAACTTAGGGAATTAAGTGGCTATGAGGGTGAACTCACCGATATTCATCGGGATAAGGTCGATCACATCACGATTCCTTCTTCTAAAGGAAACGGAGTTTTGAGACGTGTTTCGGAGGTGTTTGATTGCTGGTTTGAATCAGGCAGTATGCCTTTTGCAAGTGTCCATTATCCCTTTGAGGGTGCAGAGGAATTTGAGGACCGTTTCCCAGCAGACTTTATTGCCGAGGGACTTGAGTAAGTTCCCCATTTTTTTGCCATTCTCTGTCAGGTTTCACCCGCTAATATTGGTATTTCAGTCAAACTCGAGGGTGGTTCTATGTACTCAGCGTGATTGGAGTTCACTTGCGCCAAAGACTACCATACAAGAATGTAGTGGTGAATGGCATTGTTCTTGCAGAGAACGGCCTGAAGATGTCCAAGAGGTGTGTAAACGCCATTTCAATATGACCACGACATGAACCCTATCTAAATGTGCTAATTTCACAGGTTGAAAAATTATCCCGACCCATCGCTGATCATGAACTTATACGGGTGAGTTCCGCAGTTCTTCACCACCCCCCCCCGGTTTTTCATACTTTTTCTGCTCTTCGGGAATTTCCCCATAGGACTCTCATTGACATTCAACAGGTCGGATGCTCTTCGATTGTACATGATCAACAGCCCTGTCGTTCGTGCCGAGCCCCTCAGATTCAAAGAAACTGGCGTCAAAGAAATTGTCAGCAAAGTGCTTCTCCCGTTGTGGAACAGCTACAAGTTCTTCGAGGGTCAGGTGACTCTCCTGAAGAAGGCTTCTAACATTGACTTTGTCTTTGATCCTACAGCAGAGAGCACCAACACAAACGTCATGGATCGCTGGGTACTTGCGAGCTGTCAATCACTACTTCTGTTCATTAACCAGGAGATGGCAGCTTACCGTCTGTATACCGTTGTACCACGGCTCTTGGAGTTGATTGACAACACGACCAACTGGTACATTCGCTTCAACCGCAAGAGACTAAAGGGTGAAAATGGCGTTGATGACACCTTGCACGCTCTGAACACTCTCTTTGAGGTCCTCTACACTCTAGTTAGAGGCCTTGCTCCTTTCACTCCATTCATCACCGACAACATCTACCAGCGCCTTCTTCCCCACATTCCCGAGTCGCTCCGCGCCGAAGACAGCCGTTGCGTACACTTCCTTCCTTTCCCCGAAGTGCGTCAAGAGCTCTTTGATGAAGTTGTTGAACGCAGAGTTGGCCGGATGCAGACTATTATTGAACTCGGCCGTATCTCGCGTGAACGTCGGGCCATCGGTCTGAAGACCCCCTTGAAGACACTTGTCGTGATTCACAATGACCCGCAATATCTGGAAGATGTCAAGTCTCTCGAGTCGTACATTCTCGAAGAGCTGAACGTTTTGGAGCTTGTTCTCTCCTCCGACGAAGCCAAATACCATGTCGAATACTCAGTGACCGCTGACTGGCCTGTGCTAGGAAAGAAGCTGAAGAAGGCTGTTCAAACAGTCAAGAAGGCCTTACCTACTCTCACTAGTGATGACGTGAAAGGATATCTCGCGGACAAGAAGATCTTGGTTGATGGCATCGAACTCGTCGAGGGTGACCTCGTTGTAAAGCGAGGAATCAAGGAGACTGACAACTCCAAGGGCATGGAAACCAATACGGATGCTGACGTGTTGACCATTCTTGATATGGAATTGTACCCAGAGCTAGCTCATCAGGGTCTAGGTCGTGAGATCATCAACCGGGTTCAACGACTTCGCAAGAAGGCTGGTCTTGTTGCCACCGACGATGTGAAAATGGAATACACTGTGATTTCGGACCCGGATAACATTGGCCTTGATGAGGCTTTCAAGTCTCAGGCTCAAGCCTTTGAGAAAGTTCTGCGTCGCCCAGTTGAGCAGAGTGAGTTTAGCGGCGATAAGCTTCCTACCGGAGAGGAAGAGGGCACTATCTCGCAGGAAGAACAGGAGGTGCAAAACGCTACTTTCTTGTTGCGCCTTCTCAAGCTTTAAAAGTCAAACAAAAGAACATACGTAGATCAGAAGTCTACTTTTTTTTAACTATTTCTCTTGCTTTGAATAAAATTACATGCCTTCTATCAATAGTAGTATCTTCAATACCTGGCGATCAACCTAGAATTATTTACAAATGCTCCTGCTTGCGCCGCCATATCCAAACAGCTCCAAATATTTTTGATTGTTTCCGATTCTTCCGACATATCATTCCAAGGGACCCTTCTTCAGCCCTTTTTGGATGCCGCCTGTTGGGGCTAGTTAGCATATCGAACGACCCAGCACTCGTTCGTCACCTACTAGGTAGCAATTCTTGAGTCGCATGAATTCTTTCGCACACATATCTTTATGTACTGAGTTGTAATCCGTAACAACACACTTGCCATATGCCGCAATCTACCAGACTAGTCAGTGGGCAATACTGAGGCGAGATGAACAGAGGCATACCTCTACGGAGCATTGGGCTGAAGCTTTGGCAATCTTCTCGACTGGGCGAGTTCTTCCAGGCATCTTGGAAGGATAATATGAAGATACAGCCCTGAAATACAAGGAAGCTCAATGCTCTGATGTGAAGCCAATAAGACCTCACCTGGGCACCTTCGAAATCCAAAAATGTTACATAAGACCACGTGACCGTCCTACATGTTTCTGTCGCGACAACCAAAACAACCCGTTCAGCCACTGTTGCTCTGATTGATGGCGCATGGGTTCAGTTTATTGTTCCTGTTTGTTTTTTGGAATTACTGATTGCAGAGTGCCCCTGTCTGCGCATGTGTTTCATCCTCGGCGTTCCCCACTTTCGCGATGATTTATTTGGTCCTGCAGCTCTATGACCCAGATGCGACAAGCGCGCCTTAAGATCGCGAATTTTCGATGCCTCCGATATCCCCTCAGCGTCGAGCCGTGACCGAGGAGATCTCATCGCTTTCAGACGATGGTAGGGCGCAATCGATCACTTAATTTAAATGGAGTCTGACCTCTATAGATGTCGGTTTTCTCTACCAGGTTATCGCTAGCGCCGAGACAAAACCAGAAGCGGATCGACTCCCATTCCGAGCGCTCTTCGAGGCATATGACGAAGTCATTGCTGAACATGGCGTCAACGCGGACCCAGGCCATGCATGTCTGCGCTTCCTGTTCAAGATGGGGAGCAAAGCTGTGCGCGGCGAGACTCTCTTCGACAAATTCGAGAATGCGCTCCAACAGATGGGAATCGTGATTGAAATCGGCGATGAGGGCTCTACGAACCTCAATGAGACACATGATTATGATCAATATACAGCGGATGTTACCCGCAATCAGACCGTCGACCATGGCCATTCTCCAATTATGAATGGAGTGCCACCGACACCCAAACGGCGCGCATCATTCAACACTACGTATGACATTGGCGAGGATGCTACACAGAGAAGTTTAATCAATCGTCCTAGCTCTCGATCATCAATGTCGCGACTTGAAATTGGAAAACCCGAGTTTTCTGGACCAAAACTGTCACCTCGCTCTCGGCATGATTCCAGGCCTACCAAATCGCCAGATCGGACGCAGTTAATCAGCCAGTTCTTAGATGTTGGTCGGCGGTTACTAAGCAGATTTGACGGAGCAGAAAGCAAGCATGGAGCCACGGAAGAAACTCCCTTGACTAATGGAGTGGTTGCAAGATCGGCCGTTGCTCGTGATCGTTCGAAGAGAATGGTTAAAGCCTCGAATTCTCGGCGTTCACCCTCTTACAAGTCTTCGGATAGCTCCGAGTCTGATGAGATGCAGTCAATCATGTCGCGGAGCCCAGAACACGATTCTTTTGACAAAGAAGAGGTGCCACCAGAGTTCATTTATCGCCCGCAACTTTCGGATCTACTTCGGGATGCATCGACCTTCAACATGTACCGACAGCGATCGATCTGCCGTCGAATTTTGACACAGTGGCTGAAGAAAGCTTTCCAGGCGCGACAGACTCGCCAGACTAGGGAAACAATCGCTGTTAATTACGACCGAGGCCTTCTCATCCGACAAGCCTTTGATCCATGGAGAGGGGTGATTCAAGAAAAACGCCACTCGGTTCGAACAGATCGATTCTTTAAGCACCTTGAAGCTCGTGCCAGTCGCGCACGGGATTTGTATCTAATGACGAAGGCGTTCAGTCACTGGGCCCAACTTACGTCGGAAGAAGTAGCTCGGACCTCTGCAGCTCGGAGATATGTCCTGAGCGTCAAATACTTCAATGCCTGGCGCGAGATCACTGCCGTCAATGAGCTGAAGGCCCAGCGTTTTGCGCTACAGAGGCCTTTCAATGCGTGGCGGGGGAAGATTCAAGATTTGAAGGCAGCAGAGGCCCAGGCAGTCAGTGTACGCAACACGAAAATTCAAAAAGCATCTTTTTGGGACTGGTGGTGGTGCTTCTGTGACCGGCGTGTTCTCGAAGTTTCTGATTATCGACTCAAAAGACGGTCGCTTCTTTCCTGGCTTCGGAACTTGCGAACCAATCGAGAGCGTGACCATGAAATAGACGTGCATAATAAACGGTCATCTCTGAAGTCGGTACTTCAGATATGGTCCCATCACTCGAAAACTATTACACTTACAGACCAGGAAGTCCAGGCTTCTAGGCGCCAACATGACCTCAGAGAAACCTTTGATGAATGGAGAATTCAGTCCCGGCTGGCACCGGCTGCTTCTCGGGTTTCTGAAATGGTTGACACTAGGATTCTACGGAGTGCTCTTTCACAATGGATTACAAAGGCCCAAATGGCCAGGCAGGCAGAAGAGGTAAATCGTCATCGAATCCAACACAACGCGTGGATCTCCTGGAATGATACGCTCCGCTGCTTGGCTCTTCGTGCTCGAATTGACGAGCGGATCAAAATGGAGGCAATGTACAAATGGGTTATGATGGAAAGATTTGAGCTGATGCGAAGGATTCGCGAGCAACGCATTAAGCGAGAAGTTTTTTCTCGATTTGTGACAAACACTCGGGACACTTACACCCGTTTACTGTTTCATGCTGAAGCTCACGAGGATCATCAGACTGAAAATTTGGTTAGATCTAAATTTGCCATTTGGCGTGACCAGGTGCAACTTCAGCGCGAGCGGGACTATGTAGCGTCTGAGTTCTATGCCCCACGGCTCGCAGCTGAGTCTCTTACGATCTGGCGATCCAAACATAATCAAGTAGTCAAGTTGGAAGGTTGGGCTCAAGATGCTCGGTTCTATTTCTTGATGAAGAAGTCCATGAAACAATGGCATCAGGCCAAAGTGGACTCTGGCAAAAGACGGCGGCAAGAGTCGTATGCTAAAGTCCGGCGGCATATCAAGGTCAACCTCGCGTCTAAGGCGCTGGCTGCCTGGTCATCAAAAACTCGAATCATCATGGAGATGGGGCAACAAGCTGGTGATATTGATCGCGAAAAACTGCTTGCCGACACGTCCGAGATATTCGTCCAATGGCATGACAAAACAACCAAGAGGATTCAGGATTGCCAGGATGCGGATGATTCCTATTTCCGACAAGTCGCGTTTGACCAGATGATGCAAATGTCTGAAACATTCATCATTCGGCGTGAGATGGAAGACCAAGCAGACAATGTATATCGGTTGCATGTCCTACGACTAGCGGCGGCTTCTCTTCGCAAGCTCAGCCTTCGTATCTTCCAGATAGGCAGTACCGTCGAGACTGCTGAAGCCATGCGGGAAAGGAATCTAAGGAAGCACTCGAGAAACATGTTCCGCGATTGGGTGGACAAGGCCCGAATGAAGCTGGAGGCTCGGGATTCTGCTGGTCCGTCTTTCACGCCTGCGCGAATGTCAACCTTTGGAAATGGCGATGGCGCCGAACCAGCGATGTTCGACCCCTGGTATCAAGAGCAGGCTGAAACACCTTTCAAAATAAGCGACTTGACGGCGACATCTCAAGCAACATCTCAGGCAACCTCCCATGATCCAATCTCTGCAAGCCCCTTAGCCACTCCCAATTTCACGACCTCTCCCTCTAAACGAGCCGCCCGAGCGCGAGCCCTCGCCCAAATGTCCACCACCCCCGCCACACCCCTACGTACACCGTTTGCAAGTCGATTACTTCGAGCGGGGACTACGACTTCTTTATCCACCTCTTCTAAACGACTACGGACTGGTCGGCGAAGCTCCGTGGGAAATAGCGTCCGGTTTGTGGATGAAGAGCCTCCCGAATCTCCAACAGATGGTCGCAAATCAGCGAATCGACGATCTTGACGTTCTTGTTTGTCATATGACCTCTTTGCAGCCGCTTTAGCCTCATGTACATCAGCGATGGTTATACTTCTTTTCTTCTCTCTCACGTCCTGTCGATATGTGCGTGTTTCATTCAGTGCATCATCCGGCGCAACATATAGTGGGTTCAACGGTTTCTGGGTCTTTGGTATACTGTTTTGTACTTTTGCCATGATTGAATGTGATAATAAAATTATGAAATGAGCTTTTTTTCTTTTTAGAGAACCTGTAGAGAAAATCATACATGGATTTTCATTCAATGAGATATATAATTATTATTATCTGTTATAAAGCAGCACCTGGTTGATGCCGAGGTCAGGTATAGGTAAATGCTTATCGGGGAGCTCTGTAGCTATGCCCCAAATAACTTATAGCTTTTGTAACGTAAATTCTCTTAGAAATAGCAATTGTTGAATTCACTGCATTGTTATCTCTAGCTGCTTTGTCTTGTTAAAGTCGAAGGTCACCAGCCCTGGAGTCACACTGAGCTGAGTGGAGCGGAAGCGTCATCCCCAGTCTCTTCCGCCTTGTCCCCTGCGTGCATCCAGACAACCCTCTAAAGACACATATTCTACTCTCCGTTTCCCTTGAGACTTCGGTTACTCCAGGTATAATAATTTTTGAACTGGAAATGTTGTAACGTGTTTTCGAGCGCAACAAGCGTCCAGTCTCCTGACCCAACCAACCGCCTCTATGCGAGCGGTACTGCCGGGGAGACCCCCAGCGAAGCTCCAGTCATTCAGCACGGCGCTGTGGAAAGGTCTTCGTATTGTTGTAAGTGCTCTCAAATCTTGTTTGGTTTCCGCTCCAGCTGCACAGCTCGTTTAAAGCCCCCTGTTGTTGACCCTTGCCCTGCGCGTTCCCCAATAGGCATACATCTCCGGCCACGCGCTGGTTATCCTCGGCGGTCCGCAAACACTCCTCCAAACGATATACATCGACGACACAGATACTCTCGAGGCCATAGCGTTTGACGAAACATCTGGCAAGATTGCTGTCTGTGGCGGTCCTGATGTATTCGTGTACCAGCCATATGGCATCCAGGGTGAAACGCTCAAGGTGCGCACACAACCCCACTACTCCAAGCTTGGGCGACCAACAACAGCCTCATAATGACATCCATAATTAATGTTGACATATGGCCTCATTTAGTGGTCGCTTCTTTATACATTCCGCGCTCCCGATGACGACGAACCGATCTATACACTATCGTGGGGTTCCTCGAACGAGCTCCTGGTGGGCAACTCCCGCCTCGCCCTTTGGTTTATGAA